TGCGATGACCCCTCTCTCTGTCCCTGCTCAGACTGCTAACAAAATGTCCTACCAACAGTTTTATCAAAATGTTCGATGAAGTCATATGGTGAGACCGACTGAGGCCCTGGTCTGGGTCTGGTCTAGTCCGGTTTTGTGTCTCAGGCCTTGTTCCGATAAGAGAGACATGCTGTTCCTAAATTGTATACTTTTACTTATGTCACAGAAACCAACATTGTCCTTGAGTCTTCCCTGAATTTCACTAAACTCAGGCTAAATATTATACAAAGGCTTTTTAAGCAAACACCTAATGATAATCATTAGTATACAACATTTTAAATCTACATCAAATCGCATACATTAATTCCAATTATGACATAACGGCCTAATGACAAGTTAATCCATGCTAATAGGATGCTTAGTGTTTGAAGAAATACATTTGATTCAAGACACAGCCTCCATTATATCCTTCACAGCCACACTAAGTGCAAACATGTGAAAGAGAAACGGACCATCAGACGGATCTCTACAGACGATGGTACAGCTGTCCGTCTGTGCGGCCTGTGAGGGTGAGTGGTGTCAGCCGAGCTCGTCATGTGTTAATGTGGCCTTCACCTCTGCTGTCGGACTGTCACTGAGAGGCCTGTCCCCTCCACACGCTAATCACATGTAATGAGTGTGAGGATTATGAACCAGGGGTCTTCATACGACTTGTAAAGAATATTATGCTTGAACATGTAAACCACAGTATTCAAGACTAAAATATCCCTTTGACTGAAACAGGGCTTCAATAAAGGAACAGAATGTACAACAAACACCACAAGGCCTGAATAGAAATCCTTGTTTTATTCCTTGTTTTTTTTTTAAGATTTGAGAATCATGTTGACACCTTTTTTAGTTATGAGGCCACATGTTTTTATACCAGTGAGATGAGCTCGACGCAGTGAGCTCTGGCAACACGGGTCATAGACTTTCTGATTGATAAAACGATGGAGAGCGGGACATCGAAATGAAAACAAAAACAAGGGGGCTGTACATATAACTAATTCTGAAATTCAAGTATCTCAGCTGAACTGTTATTACTACTACTGTATTAATTATGACTTTTTGAGATATTAGGGACATTTAACGATGACTTGATATGAAAATCTTTCACATTGCTATACTTTATGAGTGCACCATGGAGGATTACATCAGTGGTTCATTGGAGCGTTGTGAGTAAGTTGTAATTTAAGTAATGTTAAAAAAAGATGCTGTAGATACATCAGATTACATGCAGTACTTCAAGTAATTACACAGGGATCAATATAGTTAGATACCACTTGTTGGTGACAAAACAACATTTATGCTACTTAGCTTCATCCATCTGACAGATCAGGATAGCATAATTTGTAGGATCCAAATGAATCATCCTAAATGAGATCCTGAAAAGTGGTTCAAATAATACCAGTTTCTTTAATACATAAAAAGTTAACATTTCAGGCACCTTACATCTTAGCTTAATGATAAAATTTTAAGCACACTCCATACAAAACTTTCATTTAAATATTTATAATACAGTCACTCTAACCTAACAATATTCTCCTCTGACAGATCTCTGCCCTTTGCTTCACCAGTTATTTCAATAGTTCCATATGTTGCCAGAGGGGGCTCCTGATTGCAGCAGTTTGGCCTGGGTTTTCAGAACGCCATCTCTCCAGCAGCGCACTCCTCTCCGATGGGTAAAGGTCCTGTCTAATTGGTGCTTGGTCTGTTCCCCCGCTGAGGGCTCATCTCTGCGTTTAGTTTGATCACAAGGAGTCATGTAGAGACCAGTCATTTAGATCCTGGACAAGGTCAAAAAAGGCACAGAAAGTGACTCATGCATTTTAATAATCAGAGCTGGGGTGGGAAGGCAGGATGGGGAGTTTTTGGAGTTGGTATAAATGATGTCTGCCATTTTCCTTATATGGGCATTTGTAAAGATGGGGTAAAACCTTTGCATCGTAGCTAGGGCAGATGCAAACCAATGTGTTGCAAACATGTTGCTAAGGCAAGCTGAAGTTTCCCCCGTCAATGAAGGCCTCTGAATTCATATCTGGATTTACAAATACTTTATCAAGAATAAAAACACCAGGAGCAGTTTTTGAAGCGCAAAATCGGGAGTGTGACGTGAACAGTTGCTGTGCTAGAAGATTTTGGTCGGTGCAAGTTGGAGCAAAACATCCCTATTGGTGCTTCATTGAGATAGTGGGTTAGCATTGTCCATCTATATTAAACAGTCTATGCTCGGTATTTGCATCTACACATGAATTTGATAAAGATTTGCCCATTTTAGGTATTGTAATATAACTATGCGTTGTCTAAACTGTGAATGTTGAATTTAGCAGGGCTGGACTGTGAACTCATCACCCCTGCCAAAAAGCCAAATACAGTTAGCATATTTTGAATCAGACCATTTGTTTAATTGCCCAGTGTCCAAATATACACCAAACACAGAAAACCACAAATAGGGCCAGTTGCTTGCATGGGTCCAAATGAGTGACACAGACTGTTATAGCAAATTAAGGCCAAATGGAGCATCTGTATTTTGAATTCGCCATGTATCTAATAATGTGACAAAGCCTTATGCAAGTTGCTGTCAGAGCTCATTATGTGATTATATAGAAACAAACACAATATACTTTTCCTGCTTCCACTTCATTTCAATCTCATTAATTAAAGCTCGCCCATGGGTGACCAGTGTATTCATGCCATAAACTGCTCGCCATCGTGACGGCTACATTTGTGGCCCTGACTTTATGATTTAGTGTCATAGCTATAAACAGTTTGCTAATGTAGCCACGTTTACCACAGGAAGTGTTGCTATTTGGATTCTAAGAGTGGTATGTGTTGTTGGGAGAACTGTTGATTCTGCCTTTGTTTAATGCTAATCCTTTTTATATATATTTATTATTCACTTGTGGACATGACAATACATCACATTTACAATTACATTTCAAATAGTTGTTGTCTTGTCACACAAATGAACAGGAGTAAAAAGGAGAGAACAAATCTTCTATTGACTGCCCCTTTTTAAAAATATGTACAAATTGAAGAACAAATAATTAAGATGAACTTCAGCCCTCCTCCTTCAAACTTTTTATTATTTTTTATTATTTATTAGTTTTCAAAATGATTATATTTTTTAAATATTAATATAGTTGTTATATTAATCATGTGTACATACAGGAGAAACCTGAATGCTGTTTAAAATTTCTGAAATTCAACTTAAAAGTGTGAAACCAATATGATTTACACTTATTATAACATGCACAGTGACATATGTCAAGCCTTTGTGATCATTGTGATGGCTATGGCTGACACTCCATGCATTTTTTAAATATTTCATAATTTGTAGAGATGTTTTGTTTTGTTTTTGATGTTTTAGAGTTTTGTTAATTTACATTTTTTTAAGCTGTGCCAATGCTCAACATAACAAATAACGGCTTGATCTATCTCACTTTATGTAACGAGTCATTCATATATCAGTTTCACCTTTTAAGTGAAGTAAAAGGACTTTTGACCTATTTCAGCTATAATTTAAAAAGTATATTCATCTGTCGTGAAGCTCATGTAAAGAGGGACATTTGCAAATAAGCCATGGCCATAAATGTTGTAGAGTCACATGTTGTTAGTGTTCTGTGGAGAGGTTGCCCCAAGTTTCAAAATGAAGCAGCATAACTCAAATGGTGAAAATTAAAAAAAAATTCTTCAAAACAAAAGGACATTGATAAGTGGCATCAAACAAGTCCATATTAAAAGATGCTTTGTTTTCCCTTTAAATTACCCAAAAAGAAGATTTGAACCAACAACTTCCTTCCAAAAGATGCCGACACAAACATTTGCGCGTTAGAACAGACATTTCGACCCAATGTTAACATAATCCTCCGAACAAGGGCTTCTCTAAAGATAGACCACAGCACAAACTTCATCATCAAGTCACAAGGCTGTTCCAACGCCACTGGCTGTTTTTATCACTGCCATCACACAACACTTGCCACAAAACAGACCGAGCTGTCTACAAAACCAGTGACCAATGAACAATATCTCTGTTTTCTGTGAGCAAAACTAATTCCAGGAGGAAACGAAGGAAAGCAGTGAAAAATATGTGAGGTCCGGGTCATGAGCTGCGTATCGCTTTGATTTACTGCAAGACACTGATCAGACGCCACAGATAGAAGCTTATGTGGCACAAATGATAAGAAGTCATGTTTGCCGGACTAAAAAAGAGGTACAAATAAACAGTGGGATGTATTGTATGTTTTTCATTTTTCTCCTGAATCATTTTCTGGTTTAGGTATTTTATGCTCTATGGTAACAGAGAAAATTGCTTGTGTTTGTTGTGGATCACTTAATGTTGATGGGTTTGATTGGAGAGAACACATAAAAAGCATTGAAAACCTAAAACACATTGTCAAACACTAAAAAGCAAACACTAAAAAGCAAACAAAAAGTACCAAAAAATGTTGGTGCAAAACTGGCTTACTGGTAAGTAAAGTACCTAACTTTTGCATTTCTTGTTTCAATAATATGTGTTTGTACCAAGAGAAAGAAAAGTCATATTTGATGTGTGCTGAGTGTGGGTGAGTTTCTCTTTTTCACTTTTTTCGGTCTGAAAAAGCTGATCTAAGGATGTGACAGAGGCCAATACATGTATGTGAAAACCAGTGATAGAACTTTGATGAGATTTTTGCGACAAACAAACTAGTTAAATCTTTATTATTTCATGCTCTATTTTAGTGGTTTGAAAATCAGGCTGTGGTCATATTACTAATGATACAATAGATGTGTGTAAATGCTGTGTTTTGCACCCATTCCACATGTCTAGCCTCCCTTTAGAGACCTGATACATGTCTACATTGTTATTTACATCTCAAGTGTCCACAGTACTGTCCTTTCAGCATCTGGAAACATTTTTTTTGGTCTTAATGACACTGGTCTACATCCTGAAGCAGCAGTAGCAGCAGCAGCAGACTGGCTTTTCGGAGGCAGATCATTGTTCACATGTCACAGAAGGATCCCGGGGCCCGTGGGTGCTCTTTTCTCCCCGGTGCGGCCGCCTCTCTCCAGTGCTCGCCCCGTGGGAGAGCCAGTGAAATGACACGCAGTGGCTGTCTGTCGCCCAGGGGCCCCGGCTCTGGCCTTGGCTGGCTGGATGTGTGTGGCAGCTGGTGAGCCTGCTTGGCCTCTCCCCCTCTCTCTGCCTGCGCTGTGGCCCGCAGCATCAACAGTGGTGGTAGTGGGACTGATTGGAGCCCGTCTCTGATCTCTTGACTCAGGGGCTGATGTTCAAACTGCTGCTGCTGCCCACACGACTGGTACTGCGAGAGACAAGTGGGACAGAAGTACCCAAGTCACCGGGACCACTTCCACTCCGGAAAAGGACGACTTCACTAATAATGACACACAAAAAAAACCTGCAGAAACCTTATTATAACCTTGATTTGGCTTGAAACTGACCAAGATCATTTCCCCAGGCAGATAAACAGTGACTAAACTCAGGCCAACACACTCACTCTGAATGTTGACTGCGTAGTGGCTTATATATTTTAATTTTATATTTAAAAAAAGGAGGCTAAGGAAAGTGGATAAGAACATTTTATTCAACTTCTCAGCGCAATCCATTTCAAACACACATATAGTGTCTTGTTCGATAAACGTTTTCCCTTTAGAAAATAAAGAGTATATTCAGCATTGATGCTAATAGTTACCGTTTAGAAATTTGGAAAAGTTTGACAAACAAATAAAAGAAAAAAAAAGGACAAGCTACATCTAAGTTTTACATAAAAAATACATTTAACCATGATATTAAAAGCCACTCTGTGTTATTGCTGCCTCGTCATCTGATATGTTCAACACAAAATAAGACATTAAAACAGGCATTAAGAATTAAAACAGGCATTAAGACATAGTAATACTCATGACAGTCCAACCTTTTTCATCTGGGTAGCCATTTTTTGTTTTTTTCAGGACAAAGACAAACATCAAGCTGTTACTTTTTTAGACTCTCTAAAGTTAGAGATTTTATTTTATTTGAGTAAATTTAAGTAATTTAGTCATTATTCTTGTTATCTTGTGCTGTGTGCTCCACATTCCTTTTGTCTAGAACTTGTGATGCAACACTGAAATGTCCCCACTGTGGGACGACTAAAGGATCTTAATCTTAATAGTTGTTTGCATGTGAAGGTAAAAAGTTATAAATATTCAGCAGATCCGTTATTTCTGAAGCTAGAGCTACTTGGAAGGAGGTGGTGAGCTACTGACGGCTTTCAAGCTATGGGTTAAAGAAGCTAATATGCTAATAGTTGTGTATGATGTAGCTTCCAGTGTCATTTTTCCCCAGAGAGGCAAACAAATATATCCAAGTCTTGAAATGCTAATCAGCTCAAAAACATGACAGATTTATAACGACAGATGAAAATGTCTTGACGTAGGATTGTGGAAATGGCGAGTGTGGACCAGAGTCGAGGAGCATGTTTTGTCTGGTCGAGTCTTAATGGTGTTGGCCTGTGTAAATCCGGTTCCGGAGCACGGAGACCAGAGGCAGGTGATGTCGCAGGCCGCGCACATGCTGCATGTGATCAAACCACCGCGTCACATTTACCAACTGCTCTCGCTCCTGAACGCTCAAGCCCACCTGTGGAAACAAAACAAAGCATGAGGAGGATCAATAGTTATGATTATCAAATGTTTTATTATTATATTAATTTCTATAGTATACCTGGAATGGACATCTCTTTTGTCTTTTAAGACAAAAGTCTTAAGTCCATTCCATCAACAAAGTGTCCCTACTTTGTAAAGTAAAGCAAAGCTAATCCAAAACCAGCTGTTTTATCTGACCTTATTGCAAGATTTAAACCTGCCGTCTTTCTCTTTGCAATAAAAACACACTTTTGTTATGAATTTTCTGATCTCCCACAGTGGAATCGAGAAGTGGCCTGTTTGTTTAATGCTTTACTTAATTACGAACCAGCCATCAACAGTCAGTTTAATGTTCGCATGTTATTTTGGTAAATTGAACAAGCAGGCAGTGAGTGGTGGACGGTCTGACCGTGTGACCTGTGGCCCCCCAGAGGTTAAAAATGGCACTGATCAGAAGCCAAAGTGACGCCCTCTGCCTGGTGGCACAAGGGCACTCGCTCATCCCTGCCACAACCACTGACATAATGCAACATGTGATCTCTCCCTCCGTCCGTCTTCACAGATTCAGAGCCCACTTTTTCATCCTGGAAGGCGAAACGAATTTACTTGTCCCTGGTCGGACGCTCAAGATATCACTTTGTGCCACATCATTTTATTTCTCACTAGACAAGTGAGAATGTGTTTATAAACCGTGCATTTATAGCCAAGTCGCACCCTGCGCCCTTTGGCCATATGACTGCTCTAATTGTGTGTGATGCGCTGTGACAAATTGTGTATTAAAGTTGTGGTTGGACTTAACTAAGCTTGGATAGAAGAGTAAATTGCATAAGAATGCAGAATATTGATGTGATCTTGTTCAGTGGTGGTGGAATACATTAGCATGTAAATCCGATAGGACACGCTTTCACACAGTACAGTGAGTTTTATGATGGGAATTTGAAAAGTTCAGATCTCAGAATGGATCAGAAACGTAAACAAAAGCTTTAGTTCCATAAACTTACAATGAGTGAATGAGTTCCAAAGTACATGAAGAAATCAGCTAAAGTAATCTGGTTTCCCACAAAGTACACTTTGTCTTCGAGGTAGGCGTTTAGTTCCTGTAGAGAAAAAAAAAAAAATGTACAAAAAAGTCACTTGTGTAAGTATGTAGAAGGTATCCCAGCATGCATCTGCCCTGTGCTTATGTGAATATTATGTGAATAATATGTAACCTGAGGGGGGCATCGTCTGTTCATGAGAGAGACTTAGCCCAGATGCTCTACAAAACAATCTGTTTGTTTATTCTTTACCAAATGACTAAACTCTTTCAGATCAAATGAAGCCATCCTAAACTCTGTGTTTCTTGGGCCCATGCAAAGCGACGGCTGGCGTGGCTGGTCCCAGGGGACGGAACCATCTTAGCACTTGTACATTGTGTGAAGAACGCACATAGAGGATCTTGGGGGCAAATGGATTTATTGTGCAGCAAGAGTGGGTGATGCCAAACAAGGCATGAAGACGGCAGACTTCCTCCTTCAACAATCAGATCCTTGCTTTGCTTTGCCTAAAGCTATGGAGCTGAAGCCCAGTCAAGCATCAGACAGAGGCCGTGCTCCTGCTGGAGACAGCACATGTAGCTAAGAGCAGCACACTCTACCTGCCTGCGTCTAAGTGCACACGACAATGATTCAACTATTATGGACATGTTTTTATAGAAAATAGGCTAAAGCTAGTTCACCTCAAAATACTGTAGATCAGGGGTAGAGATATTGTTTCATAACAAAAATGACAGAGGGAAAATGGACACCCTCCTTTTGACTGCTACTGTAGTCTAACACATAAAATAAACTATTATAATTTACTTTTATGTGCTTTTACAATAGTTTTGGGCATTTTAAATCATACAGAATAATAGCATAGTATTTCTAATATCTGAATTCTTTGGGGAAGTACTAGAGATTTGGGGTGATGAGTAGCTTCAAAACAATAAGTTGGAGAACTTTGCTCTGGAGCCAGTGCCAGTCATCCGTAGTATACATTGGGCAGTTTTTCAACAGAGGTCTTCTAATTCAAGGAAACTTGACATGAGAAACATGATGCTAAGTTCAAAAACAAATGTCACCTTTGGTCACAGATCATTTTGAATGTTCCGTTTCCTGGGGTGAGACAGTTTTTATTCCTGGATGCTTTAATAGGAGCTGACGGCAGTTTAAAAGACAAGTGCTAAGACGGTGGCTGAAGCAGCAGGACAGGACAGGGGGCCACTGGGCACCAGAGCTGACCCGCTCAGGGCGACTTCCTTCTGTAAGTGGCACCATTAAAATATTTAAAAGGCCTGTCCAGAAAACATGCTGGTTCTCAGTGTGAGCCCAGAGCCGCAGCACAACACTGTGTCCTGCTGTGAAGTGCACAAACACACACGCCCCACTGACAGCTCACTGCCGAGAGGCGCCCAGCTCCTGCCGACTGTGGCCGCTGATCCATTTCATGTTGACTGGTGTCAGGCACATTAAGGGTCTTTTCTCTGTCACTGTAGGGCCATACATCAGTCTGCTCCGTCTCTGGTGTCTTAACAAGGCCAACGCACAAGCAGGGAAGTTCAGAAGAGGAGGGATTTTGTGAGATTAGCACAAGTTATATTTCCCCTTCTTTTAACATGCTCTTCTCTACACATATTATATTGCATTTGTGTAAACGGTGTAAGTTTGTAAACTGAGCAGCTCAAACCTTTAGAATGGTCCTGGTGTCCTCCTTGCTGCATTCATCTACTTTTGTGACCCTGTACTCTAACCACTGCTGCACCAGGGCTCTGCCCTCTGCTCCGTCCCCCAGCAGTTCCGGACGCTTGGCCTCTCTCACCAGATGACAGCCGACTGTCACCAGGCCAACGAGAGGAGGACCATCATTGTTCTGCAACACTGGAACCTAGGAGAGAGGGAGAAAATTATAACTTTTTTTTTCAATTGACTGACTCTAAGTTTAATGTCTTGCATGTGTTTTAACAGATGGTCAAATAAATGCATATTGTATAATATACACATATATATGATTCAATTATTGCAAATTAGCATAATCTTTTGCTATTATATGCTCTGTATTTACAAACATCAATGATTTTGCATCATTGTGCAGATCACGACACACAACATCACAGTCATTTCCATTCAGGTGCTTTGGATTAGGGTTGTTGTACAAATACATTTTGTATAATAAAAATACTATTGTTGCCACATTATAATTTTGTAGTCAGCTCCAGCCGATGGTGCAGTGCGCATGCGTAAAGCATGGTGCAACATCTTTTGTGCTGTATTTAGTTACATAAAGCTCCTGGCATTGGACCTTGTTGACTTAAAGAACATGCTGAAGACAGTGGTTGACTCGCTCCATTTACAGTAGAACACGAGGATGTATAAACACGAAAAACAATATAAGGGCAAATCAAATGGGCATGTCAGCATGTCAACAGCACCATGGCAGTCAGTTTGACTGCTACGCACTGCTCAACTATCGGTTACATAAAGCCACAGGAGAAACATATCATAGATCTATGAAATCACCTTTTTGTCCCCTTGTGTGGTGTACTTGTTGGGCTTTTTCAGTCCTAGATATTTCTCCAGCGACGAAAGCTCCCGGATCGCCATGTTTCTGACGCTGAGGGAGGAACCAGACAGCCTCATATGATTGGTGCAAAGACACAGTCCCGCCCATGAAAGGTTTGAGTGATGGAAGCGCCGACAAATCAGAGATCGAGTCGTCTGTAAAACAAGATTATGATAGAATAAAATAATGACAAAACAAAAATAGCATTAATAATGACATTTCAATTGCTTCCTAATATGATCATATATTCATCATTCATTTTCATCTTATTGTTATGTATTGCATTTTAAAATGCACCCACACTCTAAACGTTTCAAAATGTTCTTAAATATTTAATTCCAACCCCTACATGTACATTTAGGTGTCACTTTAAGAGTTGGGCATTCATAATTTTACAAAGAAAAGGGTATTGATAATTTAGAAACAAGAGTTGTGTCATATTTACGACTATAAATGTGCACATTCTATGATGCAGCGTCAATAAATTATATTCAATATTTATAATTTTATGTTTCAATACTATTTATGAAAGACACAGAATAAAGACTAGGACTAATTGCATTAAAACATGGTTCAATATGACAGAAGTTGAAGTTCTGCAGCTTGTGAAGTCCCAGAGTCTGCCAGTCATGAGTGCACTGCTTGTTCACTGTCTGAATGGATTTATAACACTGTGTTACCATTTCCCCATAATAAAATGTCATGTGTCAGTCAGCGGTATTCTCTGCACTGACTCTGGTTCATCGCAGTGACAGCCGGACCGCGGAGTCACCCAGAGGTCCCTCTTTGTTACAGCTCACCTGGACGACCACGCTCCTGGTGCTGCGGGTGTCAATGCCTGCATGTTCAAACCAAACTCATATTTTACCTGGACTTTTTTGAATGTGAACTGTAGTGAGCAATAAAACAGGCAAGACAACATCCCAGACATGAGGCTATGAGGGCCTTTAGGCAAATAAAACAATTCTGGGTCTGGTTAAAATGCTTCTATAATGTTGGTCAACTTTAAATATAAACACAATATTTTAAAGGGAAAAATAGCATTGTAGAACATTTTTTCCCCCTATAAAAGATACCATGTTCTTTGTAATACTGAACTTTGAATGACAACAGTATGCAGAAGTCAGTCATTTTGGTTCTGGAGGTAAAAGAAAACACATCTATGGCTGATGCTAAAGGGAATTTCTGTATTTTGCCTGTGAATATAACCTTGTGAACGCTGCAAAACTCTGGTTGTGTCGCTGATGCTGTGGAACAAGTAAGTAAGTAATATTTATTTATATAGCGCATTTTACAGAACAAGGTCACAATGTTCAGAGTTCAGATATTGTTCCAATCATTCCACACACGGTGATAACGGAAGCGAGTCGTCGAACACACTGGATCATCAGCCCCCGATCAACACCATCCATTCACTCTCTCATTTACATTCATACCTATTGTGCATGTTTTTAGTGGTAGGGGAAACCGGAGCACCCGGAGGAAACCTACGCAGACAGGGGGAAAACATGCAAACTCCACTCAGAAAAGCCCTGTTCCGACCGGGATTCGAACCCAGGACCTTCTTGTTGAGAAGCCGTGCCAAACAACAACATAAGGTTCTACTGAGACATGATCCCAGACCTCTGCATCATTTGTCATTTTCTTCAGTACCTAACTTTCAAATCATATAAAAAATTAAACTACTTTATGAAAATAATGTTCAAATAGTCACTTAGAGACTAATCAGATGAAGACGGCCTGTTGCGTTCTGATTGGATCTGATTAGTTTAAAACATTTTACTGTCATTTTGTGTTGGTACAAACAACATGGAAAGTGTATTAAACGTAGAAGTTAGGTCCCCGAGCTTTAATACTTGCACAAACCCAAATGATGAATAAACTAGACATTTACAAATCTCTCAACTTTAGCCACATCTGCCCTGGAGCAGAGATTTTGCTGCTTGTAACTGACAGATATCTGTCAGTTACAAACAGCAAAATCTATGCTCTCTGAAAAAGGCTACTTCAGATTTTACGTCACCGCCACTGTGTAAAATTGAACTGTTTTGTTATATTTTCATTTTATTAGAACTCGCCTGAATCACTAAAAGACCAGAACTACAAATACAATGGATATTACACACATTTTAATGGCCTTGTTGAAACACGCTTTTTGTTATTTCCATTGAAGCTTATTACATCGCACACATCCCTCTATCCCGCTCTCCTTTTTATTTGCCTGCACCTAATATAAGAGAACAGATGATATTTTTAAACTCAATTTGTTGAGAAAAAGCTGTCCCAGAAAACAAATTAATTAGAAGAATGACTACACAGACTATCACAAATGATTAGATGCAGCGGAACAAGGTAAAACTAATTCCATTTATTTTTCTTGCATTTTTTTGATGTTTATTTATAGGCCTATTGTACGTCAGAGTTTTCCTGCGCCTTGTGAATGCCCGCAGCGGTTAAGAGCGTCTCCTTTAACTAAATGCCTGGAAGCTGCCACATCTTGTCTGGACTGAGGCGGGCTGAGGACAGTGATCCCCATGCTGCTGTGCACTATATAACCGCATTGCCTTTGGGAGTTTTCTCATACACAATCTGGGGTCACATTAGTAAGGAAAACCCACCGTGGGGTCAGGGATAGTGCCGAGGGGCTTGCAAAGCGGGCATAGCCATAAACAAGGCCCCAGTCTTATCCGGGGCCATGTTACGCTGATTCGTCTCTGTGGCTTCTGTTACCTTTCACGACCTATAGGAGCTGTCGCGGCGTCGTGGGCTCCCAGAGACTAGACACAAACGCTGTCAGCACCCATCGGTGAGATTGCATATTGGTGTGAGGTCAATCTTGTAACGCAAAGATGGCCGCCAGCAGATGTGTCAAGCTGAGGCTCAGGACACAGGCGGTATAGAGTATTGTTTTGGCTGTTTATGGTGCCTCTCTTTGTCGATTATGAGAATATATCCGTATGCTCCCGATGCATAAACAGTTGTGGGTCTCACTTTGATTTCTGTTTTCACTGGATTTTTCTTTCCAGGGGTCTAAGGCCTGGGTGTGATGATAATAGTAGTGATAATAATAATACAACTACATCAAAATTGAAGAATAAAATGAAGGAAAGGCAAGGTGAAACAGGTGGGTTTTAAGAAGTGAGTTAAAGAGTTCTGTCGTGAGTAGTTTCTGATGGGTTGTGGGAGTGAGTTCCAGAGAGGAGGGGGGGATCCTGAGGGGAGTGACGAGGTTGGAGTCTGTGGATCTGAGGAGGCGGGTGCACAGTGACCTGTTATATATGGACCAATGACTATAGGTGTTTTTTGTTGTTTTTTTAATCTGTTCTAATGTTTTGATTTTCTGATCTGCTGTGGCCAATCGACAATTCTATGAAGCCCTTTCAAACAACTGGTGATTTTGGTCTCTACAAAAGCACATTGAATTGTAGCCATAACTGTTAGCCCAAATCTTCTCTGTAATTTGCGTAATATACTTAAGGCTGGAGGGTGTATTTATTTCAGCTCGTGTAAATATGTGTTTTCTGCACAAAGATTGAAGTTACTCTAAAGATTACATTTATCTTGTTTGATTCCTCCTCTTCTTCCACACTTCCACACTGAAGCAATTTAACTTTCCTCTTTATAACCTTCATTAGTCCACTGCGGGACTAATAAAGGTTCTTTCTCTGTCAGTTAGAAGAATAAGTATAAGTCTAATTTTTTCACTTCGATTGTGACTAAAATGGTTTTGTAAAGCTTTGAGTATGAACACAAATACATTTATTTTGCCATTTTTAGGCAACGACCATATACATTTTTATAAATACAATGTTTGGATCATTTTGTTCTAATCCATTTCAAAAGTACAGCCATCGTTAATTTATTTTACTCCCAGGTAAATTACGTGTAGTGTCCATGCAAATGTAGCTTATAAAGGCGGATGAATACATCTCTTATTTGCATATTTTGAGTGAATTCAAGGAACTTGTAAAGGAGCAAGGCATTGGTTAGAATTACTTCGTTGTTACACACAAAAATATATTGGAAAAAGTTAGATATTTTTTGTAAGTGAAAACATACAACAAATACATAAATGTGTATTAACAGGTTTACATGTTTTACATTTTACATGTTTTACATTTTCTATTTTGATTTCTGCTCCTGACCTGTCTGTGTTTGTATGTTTATGCGTGTTTTATGTTCATTAACATTTCAAAATACATGACATTTATTTTTTTATTGAAAAAGAAAACACAAAAAAATGAAATTATGTGTTCCATATGTGCGTGTGTTTTTGTGTGTGTGTGTTTGTGTGTGTGCGTGTGTGTGTGTGTGTGTAAAGAGGGAATAAAGAAAATGGCAAAGAAACAAGTGGAAAACATAAATTTGAACTGTGTGGTAACTCCCACAAACAAAAGCAAGGTGACTTCTTCCTGAGTATTTGATTTGCAAACAACAGAATTGTAAAAATAAAATCAGTAAAATGATCTTACATTTACTTACAATACTTACTTACAATTGATTTTTTATTTTGTATTTATATTTTTACATGTAACATTTTTAAAACTGTTTTCACTTTAAGTAATAACAAATGTAGTGTCATCTTACCACTTGTCAAATCCAATCCAAACTATTATTATGAATGTTAAAGCCATTTTAACAAACCTATATATGCCCCTTTATTGCAGCCATTATTAAAGTGTATTTGAACGGCCTTCTGACACAACTGCTTTTATCTGCTCTTGTAATTAACCAAAGTTATGTTGAACTTTCTGCTTCCCAGCTGCAGATGTGACATGATGAACTGATGCACTGTAGCCACATCAGTGCATTTAGCTGCGGAGGATCGGGCTCTGGTGGAGGGAAGTCTGCGGATGCCAGAAATGTCGACGCTCCGGGTGAGTCCTTTGGGGCCTCAAAACGACTCCAGTGATGGGATTATAAGCACCACCCCACTGCTCCGCGCACAAACAGCCACCCAAAGGCGAAAAAACAACAAACTGGTCCCCTCTCCATCACACACACAGGCAGCACATGCAAATCAGTGTACTTTGAACATGTTTACAAGGGGGCTGGAAACCTTGGATGAGCTGCTGAC